AAGGGGCACTGGACGCCGCCGTAGAACAACAGACCGTGAAGATCGCCGCCTAAGATTATTGGCCTTAAGGGACCGTTTCTCCACTACCAGGTCCATTGCAAATGAATGGTTTGCAGAACACGGAAGACCTATTGGTATGCGAAGTGTTTACCGACGAATGAGAAGTTTTGGCTTGTTTTCATACCGGCCACACTGTGTCCTCCCTTTAACTCGAGAACACCGACGTAATCGCCTTGAGTGGTGCAGACAACGGTCACTCTGGGATCAGGAATGGAACAGTATTGTCTTTAGTGACGAGTCTCGATTTTGTTTAGGCATGCACGATGGTCGTGCCAGGGTTAGAAGGCGACGTGGTGAAAGGAGGAATCCACAGTTTTTTGTTGAAAGACATGTTCATCACACTGTTGGAGTTATGGTTTGGGGTGCTATAGCTTATGGTTCCAGGTCACCTTTAATCTTCATCAGAGCGCAGCGTTATATCCACGAACTTCTAGAACCCCATCTTTTATCCTATCTTGACACCCTGACAGATCCAACTGTCCAACAAGATAATGCCCGACCACATGTTGCAAGAGTCACAATAGACTTCTTTCAACATAATGATGTCACATTGTTACCATGGCCACCAAGATCTCCCGACTTATCCCCAATTGAGCACGTGTCGGATATGATGGGTAGGAGATTGCCCAATTTGCAACGTCCTCCTCAGACTCTAGAAGCACTTCGAGAGGAGTTGGTGGTTACCTGGAGTGAGATACCACAGGAAATATTGACCACCTGATCAGAAGCATGCCTAGGCGCTTTGGAGAATGCGTAGCACATCAGGGTGCATACACACATCATTAAAGGTCAAAGGGCTTTAAAGCAGTGCAATCATTTTGAAATTTTTATCATTTACTTATTATGCTTCATTAAGTACTTATACAAAATTTTATTAAAATAAAACCATTTAAACTGGGTGTCCGGATTTATATGTTACTCAGTATATATTAGTGTATCATCTGCAAATATCTGAAGTTTGCAATAATCTAAAATATTACAAATGTCATTAATGTATAAAATAAATAGTAGTGGACCTTGTGGTATACCAACGGAAATATTTTTTGATCTTGATAATGTAGATCCAATTTTGGTCTTTTGACTTCTGTCAATTAAATAGTTTTGAAATTTGGTTAAAATGTTATTTCCCTTAATAAATTCGATGATCTGTTCGTAAATAATTCGTTCAAAAACTTTTTCAACATCTGGAAGAACATTTATTGGCCGCATATTGGAGTGCAGCTCAGAATTCTTAACTTTATAAACAGGAGTTATGGTAGAACACTTCAGTTTTGTTGGAAATTCGCCATATTGTAAACAGGGTTAATATTCTTGCTCCAATAATATCAAAGCTTTTATTAAGCGCACTTCTAGACAAAATCTCACTCTTATTTTGATTTAATTTAATTTTTGATATAATTTTCTTGAGACAATGTTTATTGTTCTAAACTCACTGAATGATGCATTATAATCTGAGCTAATGGGACATTGGTTGGGATACCCGTCAATAATTGCTTTTACAATGTCGTTGACACTTTCTATTATCGAAAATTTTCGTTATTACAAGACTTCCTCGCCCTGTGGCATAGCAAGTAAAATGAGTACAAAATCAGGAGGCTCAAGAATTGTTTGTAAAGGCATTAAATAAAACTCACTCAAAAACAAATCTTCTCATTTATTTGAATATTGTTATCTCTGCATGTTGTTTTTTAACATAATTGAATGATCGTGTTTGTAAATATTAAACAGATTTTTAGAATGTTTTTTTTTTGTCTGAAATAGAAGAGTATTGTCTAACAAATCTAATAAAAGATGCATCCTCTATGGCAGAGATTCATTCAAAAATATTGAAACAGTACAACGCAAAATGACAAAATTAATGTATGTGAAAAAATATACAATCTGTTACGTACCTGGATTTAAAAATGGTAAAACTATTTTTTAATTTACTACAAATGGACACACTGAGACGTGTATGTAAAATAAGCAACAAAATACTATAAATAATTCTATACATATGTATGAAATCTATACATAAATATATACAAAACGCTACTAGTTCTGAGACTAGAGAAGTAAAATAAACAAAATATCGTTTGTGATGTGATAAAAAACAAGAATTTATTTAATAAACTCTACCAGAAGATAACCAACCTAATGCTATATTCCCGAGTCCCAAAAATTATCCGAGTTAAAATGAGATACCGAAGCACCAACTTGAGAACTTGTCGTAGGCTGTTTCTCTATTTACCATATATACTTCGAAAAGGTCTCTCATAGATGGCGCTAGGCCTTGACCTGAAAGTCGTAGTCGTATCAAACTATTTGATGTCAAAGTCACATTGTGACAAAATTTGCTACTTTTTAAATTTCCGCTATGAAAATGAGTTTTATTTGGATATTTTGAAATTACCTTGGAAGGTCAAGGTGAAGGCCATGGTCACGGTCAAGAGTATGCTCTAGGTCAGTGTCATGGTCATAGTCACTGTCAAGGTCATGATTAAGGTCAATGACACGGTCATGGTTATGGCCAAGGTCCTTGTCAAGATCATGTTCAAGGTATATGTCATTGTCAAAGTCATGCTAACGGTGTTGGTAAAGGTCGTGGTCACGGTCAAGGTCATGGCCATGGTCATGATCGCTGTCGTGCTCATGATCAAGGTCATAAACAAAGCAGTTATCAAGTTCATTGTCAAGGTCAATGATCGTGATGGTTAATGCAATGGTCAACGGCATGACCAAGGTCATATTCAATGCCATAGGGAAAGCAATGGTCAAGGTGAAGGCCATGGTCACGGTCAAGAGTATGCTCTAGGTCAGTGTCATGGTCATAGTCACTGTCATTGTCAAGGTCGTGGTTAAGGTCAATGACACGGTCATGGTTATGGCCAACGTCCTTGTCAAGATCGTGTTCAAGGTATATGTCATTGTCAAAGTCATGCTAACGGTGTTGATAAAGGTCTTGGTCACGGTCAAGGTCATGGCCATGGTCATGATCAATGTCATGTTCATGATCAAGGTCATAAACAAAGAAGTGATCAAGGTCATTGTCAAGGTTAATGATCGTGATGGTTAATGCAACGGTCAAGGGCATGACCAAGGTCATATTCAATGCCATAGGGAAAGAAATGGTCGGGGTGAAGGTCAAGGTCACGGTCAATGCAACGGTCAATTTGATTGTCAAGGTTAAAGTCATTGTCAAGGTCATGGTTAATGTCATGGTAGGTTATAGTTTGTGCTCCCTTTAGGTGATCGCCACACCCCTCACAACTGCACTGTCGATCATTTTTGCTGGAGTTATTAGTTATTAATATTCGATGCCGTGGTTTGACCTTGAAATGGCCTCACCATCATGATGCCCTCTCTAAAGCTTGCAATTTTAACTTCAATCCTTTTTTCTATAATGCGCAGTTTCGAGATACTTATACAGGGTGCGGCAGAGAGGACGGACGTTTTTGGGATGGGTAGTACTCTCCGACTCGGTCTACTAGAGAGGTGGGAAGGGTGCCGTTTGACTCGTGAGATCCTAGCATTATTTTACCAGTTGTCGTTCTGGAGCCCCGAACTCTGGACGAATTGAATGGCGAAATTCGCTTAGAAGTCGCCCAAGTTGCGAGAGCGATGTTGGAGAGAGTCTACGCGAACTTCCAAGAACGCCTCCAGTACTGCATCAACGATTTCGGCCACCGCATGCCTGATTTGATTTTCCACACTTGACTGTCTCAAATGCTATTTCCTTGTGAACCTGATTCCATCAATGAATTTGTTTTCGAGTAAAAATTAACTAAAGGGTTGTCCAATAGAGACGCAGGAAATTAAACGTCAATTTGACATAGACGCCATCTTTGTTTTCTGTCACCGACATGTCATTTTGTTAGTTGAATGTTTACCATTGATCGCTATGGAGTCGTATTCGATTGAAGACCGCATTAAAGTTATTCAAAGGCACTACAAAAATGGTGCAAAAATAAAAAACACGTTTCGCGAACATTTCGGTCGCAACAACCGCCCAGACGAAACAACCATCGTCGTCTGGTGCGTAAATTCGAGGCAACAAGTTCTGTGGCAAATCTGCCAGGCTCTGGCCGGCCAAGGAGCGTTCGTACACCAGAAAATATTGCTGTTGTGAAGGAGAGTGTGAGAGACGATCCGAAACAATCAACAACGCGTCGATCCCAAGAATTGGGCATTTCGAGAACCAGTTTGATCCGCATTCTCCACAAGGATTTGAATGTACACGCCTACAAGTTCCAATTGACGCAAGAGCTGCGTCGGGCCGACCATTTTTCGCGCCGAACGTTCTGAGATTGGCTCCTTGGACACCGCCAAATTGATGCCAATTTTTCATCAAAAATCATGTGAAGCGCATTTCACTTTGAGTGGGACGGTAAACAAGCAAACCTGCCGCATCTGGTCGAACGAAAATCCCCGTGAGTATCAAGAGCAGCCGACGCATCCTCAAAAAGTGACTGTGTGGTGTGCATTGTGGTCGAAAGGCATCATCGGACCTGACTTTTTCGAAAATGCGGCCGGGGACGCCGTTACCGTCAATTCTGAGCGATATCACGTGATGATAGAGGACTATTTTTTGCCGCAACTTGAAGGAATGGATATGGATGATGTTTATTTCCAACAAGACGGTGCAACATGCCACACAACCAACGTCAATATCCATCGATTGCAGCCCTTCTTCGGTGATCGCGTGATTTCGCGCAGAGGAAATGTGCCATGGCCACCAAGATCGTGCGATTTGACTCCCTTGGACTTCTTTTTATGGGGATATTTGAGAAGCAAAGTCTACGTCAACAAACCAGCCACCCTCCAAGAACTCAAAAACAACATCATTGCCGAGATAAATGCCATAGAACCGACCATGTTGCAAAATGTCATTGAAAATTTCGACCATCGCGTGGACGTCTGTAAATCCAGTTGTGGTGAACATTTGAGCGATATTATTTTTCATACATAAATGGTATAAATGAACCTTCAAAATAAAGTACCCAACTTGATTTGAATATCAATCTTTCTTGTTTTAATGTGCGTTTACTTTCCTGCGTCAACCCCATATTTTATGATTTTTTTAAAACCGTCCATCCTCTCTGCCGCACCCTGTATATGGTATGCAGATTGAAATGGGACATCCTGTATAGTGGTGTGACAAATTCTCGTAGATGGCGCTACCGTATCTCATTTTATCTCCGATAACTAGGTTGTCCATCTTCACGCGGAATACATTAACTAACGATACAACTTACTAGACATTAGTGGCACTCGTTTTACTGTTTTGCTCCTCCTAGTTGTTATGAAAAATGATATACACATCGATGAAATGATTTCTAATAAATATTTAAAAAGAAATTAAACGTCCTTTACGTATATTGGCAGTACATAAAATCTGTAACGTTAATCCTTTTGTTCTGTGTTACTATTTACATCTTTTGAATTTCGAGAAAACTTCAACTCAAAACACTACTTACAGCTACTATGTACAAACAAAACTTAAGAATCTATCGTAGATGTTAGTACCACAGTCACAAAAAATACCATTGATGAGATGAGACCGAGTCCAGCTACTCGATGGGAACAGCCCAGGGGTGTTCGACGTGGCCATATTGAATCGCTGCCAACCTGTCTCTGATCCTCTTGTATAAAGGTTGGGAGTGTTCTACTGTTGGAATACGGATGGTTTGACCTACAAAGTCGATGAGAGACACCGGACTTATTGAGGCCGCCGTACCGGAACCAAACATTTCTAGCAACTGGAAATAGAAATATTGTTAAAAAACGTGAACTTGACGCTCGAAGCACTCTATGCCGCTTAGGCCGCTAAGTTAAGAGGAACGTTACCAACACCAACTTGGCTCTGATTACTCGGTACATTTCTGAAGTACTGGACGGTCAGGGACAAGTTGATGTCATCTACGCAGATATTCAGAAGGCGTTTGATCAAGTTGATCATTATGCACTTCTGGATGAGCTTAAAACAGCGGGTATGTCCGATGCAATGCTGTCGCTCATGAATTCATATTTGAGGGATAGAAGGTTATTTGTCGAATATGGTGGTCATAGGTCGAGTTATTATCGGGCCGCGTCCGGGGTACCTCAAGGGTCAAATGTAGGTCAATAACACTGGACTACAAATTTTAGTTTCTTGTGGGAAAAGTGCACTTCTTTGTTAATTTTGGGGCGCTGAATCCAAAAATGACAATGAAATAAAAAAATTAGTTGCGGTTTAGAAAAAAAAACTTTTTATTTTTAAGGATATATTAAAAAAAGTAACAAGATTCATATACTTATAAGAATCACTATATCCGCTGTCTTTTTGCTGTTCTTTTATGGATCGTTTCTGGAGCATCTCTACCAAGAGTCCAACAGTAGTCTGCAAGCATGGAAGGATTCCACTTTCCCTGGTACCTTTTTTCCGTTGTTGAAATATCCTGATGAAAACGTTCGCCGTGCTCATCACTTACGGCTCCGCAATCGTCAGGAAAAAAGTCCAGATGTGAGTGTAGGAAATGTATCTTAAGAGACATATTACAGCCCATCTTTTGATACGATGACAGCATATTTTTGACAAGGGTTTTATAGTTGTCAGCTTTTCTATTTCCCAAGAAATTAGTGACCACCAGACCAAGCAGTTTTTTCAATACCTGTTAAAGTGTTTTCAAACTGTGTATCTTTCAAAATATTTAGAATCTGTGACCCAACAAAAAAACCTTCTTTAACCTTTGCCTCACTTAGTCTTGGATATTTCTGACGCAGGTATTGAAAAGCTGACCCATCTCTATCTAATGACTTGACAAAGTTTTTCATTAGGCCCAACTTGATATGCAGTGGTGGTAATAAATTTTTTTTCGAATCTACTAATGGCATATGCTGTACATTTTTTTGACCTGGCTCTAGGAATTGACGAACAGGCCAGTTGTGTGTGGTGTAATGAAGTGCCTTTGCCCGACTGTCCCATTCACACAAAAAACAGCAAAACTTTTTGTAGCCTAGCTGCAGCCCAAGTAAAAGTGCAACAACTTTCAAATCGCCGTAAATATGCCATTGGTGCTCATCGTATTTTATGCATGTCAATAGGTACTTCATATTGTCATATGATTCTTTCATGTGAACTGCATACCCTACAGGAAGAGATGGTAAAATATTTCCAATATGCAATAACACTGCCTTTAAACTCAATGTTGAACTGTCTATAAACAATCTCCATTCTTCTGGGTTATAGTCTATATTTAAAGCCGCCAGTAAGCCGTTAATGTTACTGCAGAAAACCAAGTTATTCCCCATATTGAAAAATGGTTCTAAGTCTTTGTGGCGTTTACGAAAAACACATACCGAAACATCGTCTTCTAACAAGTTCCACTGCTGCAGTCTTGATCCAAGTAACTCTGCCTTACGCTTTGGAAGTTCTAAATCTCTTACAAGATCATTTAATTCTGACTGTGTTATTTTGTGCGATTGGTGGCATGACGTGCTCGGTATAAAATCAGGATCTCTTGACGTTGATGGCATATCTTCTTCCTGACGAATCACTCGATCGCCATGATCTGATTCGTTTTCTGATTCGCTAGTGTAGGATTCTGGGGGTTTTGGAATAGGATTTTCGTCACTGTGAGGCACAGGTCTCATCGCAGATGGTATGTTTGGGTAGTTAATAACCGTTTTTTTTTTCTTGGACATACCTGTGGCTTGTCCAACACAAGGTACCATGCAAAAGTAACAATCATTAATATGATTTGTAGGCTCTCTCCAAACCATTGGGACAGCAAAGCGCATAGACCGTTTTTTGCCATTTAACCAGCTCCTCAGACTTGAAGCACATGTATTACAGCAGATGTGGGGTGCCCACTGTTTATCTTGATCACCTAGTTTACAACCGAAATAAAGCTGATATGCCTTTGTTGTTAGTGGAGTAATAGACCGTCTCTGAGTCGCAAAAGTCACATCACCACACACGTAACAAAACTGATCTGGATTGTTTACACACTTTCGAGACATCTTGCATGAACGCTGTCAGCCAACTGAGGAAAAAATGGCTAATATAAAACAATATAATGTACACGTATGTATAACGTAACACAATCATGCCGATTACATCATCTTTCCTTGCCGAATATAAAAATGTAGCACGTGCATTCTTGTGAATTACAGTATGTTAACACTGTCACAGCAGGAACACATATAATTACCGTATGTCTAAAACTTGAACTAGTATTGAAAAAATAAGTTTCATTCCGGTTTTAGCACATTAAAAATAGTAATATTTTGTTGATTCTATTTAGGATATTCTTTGGCTGTTGATCAGTGTAATTATTGTTTTTGATAGTTATTAATGACTTTTGAACTGAAGTGTTTCCATTTGTTTTTCAGTCAAGACAGTCGAGGATTGCCTCATGTTGCAAGATGACTTGCATGGTGTTCACGAAACTGTCTCCGTCTGAATGTTTCTAAATGTAAAGTTATGACTTATACAAGAAAAGTTAACTATTTAATTTATGATAATTACAACATCAATGGTCAGGTTATAGACAGATGCACCTCTTATAGAAACCTTGGAGTCACTTTTGATACCAAGCTAACGTTTACTCAGCATATACTCAATATCTCGTCGGCTGCCACTCGACTACTTGGTTTCTGTATCAGAAACTGGAAGGGTTTCTCCAATGTTGATACATTAATGACTTTATTTTTTACTTTTGTCAGGAGCAAATTGGAGCATGCGACTCTGATCTGGTCTCCCATTCAACGTAAAGCTTTAAAGTGTTTTCACCTTAAATGCACAGGTTCACATCCAGAAAGAGGTTGTGACCATAGTGCCCTATTAGAGTTTTTCAATTTGGATTCACTGTCAATAAGACGGAACATATTTGCTTTGTCGTTTTTGTATGGCCTCATTCACAATAAAATTGACTGTCAAAATTTACTTGAAAAAATATGTTTCCGCGTTCCAAGGCTAGGGAGTCGACAACAAACGGCATTCTATTGTCAAGCTGGCTGTACAAATGTTATGACAAAATCGCCAATTAATCTCATGTGCTGCGTCATGAACAGTGTTACTGAATCTTGTGATATTTACAGTGACAGTTGTGCATCGATTATTAACTGGTAACCATCCAATCTTATTTAGAATGTGTGATAATATAGATTTAATTCCAAGAACCATGTCTCTTTAATTGTTATTTTTTTTCAGCATTTCCTGTAATTGGGTTTCGCCTGTTGGAAATAAATAAATAAATAAATAAACACCACAACTGTTAGAACCTATTCAGGACCGTTTCGGAATTAGTACGGGATTTTTTGTTAAAAAAAGAAACGCCGGTAACGGAATTAGTTCCATTTTCCGTGGACCTGCTCTGTTCAGTGTAGAACTAGTTTGATGATTTGTTGGTACAAAGCTCATTTCAGTTCAGTACAAACCGAAGCAACATCATGTCATTATGTGTTTGGGGCCGTTCAAGTATTACGTAAGCAGATTTATTACAATTATTTACCCTACATCCCCCTTGTCAGCAAAAGTAAGCAAAGCTCTTACCCCCTCCCCTCATGCTTACGTAAACATTTGTCAATTAATGTATTGTTTTTTTTAATATTATAATCATAACGTTATAATTATAATTTGAAAAATAAGAAAATAGATTTAGGATAGAGATTATATTTTACTGATACAGTATTCAACATAGAGTAAAGGATAAAAATATTATATATTACTAACAACAAACTTATTCTAAAATTTTTGGTACATATATTAAATTCAAATTAAGTCTTCAGTCCGTGAAACCCGAATCCATGATTCTAAGTTTTCGATTACCTTGGATTGCTTCGATCGCTGCTCAGTGTTGTGAGTTTGCTCGCTTTCATCGGATTTTGGAATGTCTACGTCGTTCTCATCGAGCCATTCAACATCATGGGGCTCTAAATTTTGAATAATGCACATCAGTACATGAGCACGACGAGCAGCGACTCTTACAGGTCTAACTTTCCTATCAGTGTGCGTGTTCACTTTTTTATGGATATTTTCGATTTGGTGACTTGACGGAAGCATGATAAAGACCACACGTTTTATATGTTCGACTTGATAGCCTCAATTTTTCCGTCTGACGAAAATAATCGTAGGGCATTTGCAGGAAATCTTTGAGTGAAGCACTTAAGCGTAGAGCTAAATTGACTGGAAGATTAAGAAATTGCCCTCCTTCATCCAAAACCAAGTCAACAACTGTTTGTTTCACTTTTACAGGTGGTGAAAGAAACCGATTGTTTAGTAATCTAAATAGGCCACTTCTTGGACGACAGCATTCTGTATTTCTACATTTTACAATTTGAAGCAAGTATTGGCCTTCACGCACATGTTCTGAATACCATTTAATGTCTGGTAAATCAGGAAGATCTTGTTCACCTGCCCCAACATATTTTGCATTAATATTATAGCCATCAATTTCCATTGAACACCATACTTCAGCTAATACATTTCCTGCAAATTCGAAATTAGATCTTTCTAAATGTTCATCAATTATAACGCCACGTTCATCCAAATGAGACCCCAAAATGGTCATGGGACAATATTAAACCAGCCAGTTCCCGACTAAAAGGAGCCATTCTGCGCTCGACTCTGTTATACGCACTTCTTCCAGGAGCATTGGTAGCTAAAAACAATGCATCGAGATCATGTCGCTTAAAGTGTTGTATAGCAAACCCTATGAGTTGGTAACGTGCATTTTCATCTGGCCCTCCATCAACCGTCACGATTACCACTGGTTTT